GCAGGGCTGTGGGTCAGGGCAGAGCGTGTCTGACTGCCCTGCAGGATTCAGCTCAAGAGCTGAGCACAGGGCTTGGAAAATGGGGAGAACAAAATTAAAAGGAAGGGGGAGGAAACTGATTTTTCCATTAGTTGCAGAGGGGCCTTGCACTTAGAGAATGTGACAGGCCTGCTCTGTGTATGAGGATGATTGTAATACCTCTGATGTTTGCTTTGTCTGTTTGGATTGCGAGCTCTTTGGCCCAAGGACTGTGTCTCCTCATGTATTTACACAGATCTCAGCACAGTGGGTCACTGGTCTCAGTAGGGGCCTCCAATCTCAAGTGATAATAATGAACTGGCTTTCTTCTAAGTGTTATTTACCCAAACAATACTGTGTTCCATTGTGCAGCATTGTTTTTATTAATTTTTTTTTTCAGTTCAAATGAAATAAAAACATTGTCCACCCAAACACTGAGGAACAGTATGAGTGCTCATCTCCTGCTAGGAAATAAAAATTCAAGAGTTTCAAATACCAGTGCTTCCTGCCCGCTTTAGTCACTTTGAGGACTTGTGTCTGATGATAAAATGCTTTAAATCCATTTTAAACCTTGTCCGGGCTGGCATTCCTTGTCTGGATCTTAGCAACACAACAAAGCTTGCTTTGAAAGTCTCTTAGAGAGGCAACCCCCAGTTCATGTAGTTGTTACTTATGTGAAGAAGCCCAATTTATTTGTATAACAGCTGCTTGAATGCACATTTGCAAAATCTGTTCCAGCATCTTTTAAAACATGTAATATAACTGTAAAGCTGAAGAAGTCTTTGGGAAGAGTGCAAGCCAACCTGTTCTTTTGAACTGAAAGATATGTTTTAGTTAAGGAAAAAAAACCCAGAAGACAATCCACAATCTCTCCACTAAACTCATTTTATTGGAAGCAAAGATTTTTTTCCCCATGCACTTGTATATGAAAGGTCTGTATATTTTCTTCTGTTCTGCTGAACAGCATTATTAGAAGTTGATTGTGCATGTAGCGACGTGCAAGATTGCTCTATAGTATGGTGAGGTGCTGGGAAAGGCATTTTTGGTTTTATCTGATTGGTTTGCAAAGCATACAGAGTTACCCAACTCAACCCAAACTACACGGTGCAAAGTGAATGTTTCTACTTCAAAAATGTAGATCAGCAATGATATCTTCAGTATGAGACCATCCAATGTAGCCAAGGCATAATTTTATTATCCCAGATGAAAGACAAATATGACCTCATTGTGTTTTGTATGAAAACCCTTATTTTGAGTCTGTCTGGTTCCTGCAAGCTTGCTGAGTGGTGTTATTCAGTAATGTTTGGCATATGATAACTTTTTTGAGGCTGGTGTGCAGAAAGAAAGAAAATAAGGCCAGGCTGGAGCTGCCATCTATTTCCATGGTTTTATTCTTGCTGTTTGAGTTCTTTGTCTGACAGTTGCAATTTGCTACAGTACAACTCCAGTTGTTTTGTGTAAGTGCATCCCAGCTACAGTGTCAGTTCTCTTCCAGAGTGCTAAAAGACGTAGGTTGTGTTTAAAGGCTGGAAAGGTCTGGCTTTAGCTGCTGGGACACTGGCTTTTCCTTCTTTGATCTATTATAAGAGGTGATGTTCTTTAAATCACTTATCTTAATAAGAGCAAACTTGCCAGCGCTGACAACAGAGCGTTTTCTTAGGCAGATCTGCTCAGGTATGCGAGCAGCCTCACACACATCCCTCTGTATGGGGGGGCTGCCTGGGCATAAACCACCCCAGACAAGGAGCTTTGGCACCTCAAGAGCTTGGTGCGGGTTTATATGCCCTGCTGCAAAGGTGCATTAATTCCCCTCAGCCACAGGGGACATGGCTGATGCCCCAGCACCTCGGTGTGGCCGTGGGCCCCGCTACTCTCTGCGGGACCAACGTGTGCCAGGCAGAGGGATGCTCTGCCCGGAGCTCTCGGAGAGGCTGCTAAGGGTGAAACATCTCTTCTCTGCTTGGGTTGTGGGAACCGGAGTTTTCAGCAAGGATGAGACATTAATAGTGCCATGTTTGCTTCCATTTCGGGGCGAAAACAGAAAATAGAAGTGAAACAGATGAAGCTTACGGATTTAGGGGAAAAGTAATTTCTAAATCGCAACTTCATTGTTCTGATAATTCCATAAATAACATTTTTTTTGAAGGCTGATGATTTCATTTTGGTATTTTAGAATGCAATTGTCATGTTTGCCTCCTCAATTTGGAAATCCACGAAGTTTTTTCTATTTTCTTCTTATTCTTTCTTCTTGGAAACAATTTTAATGAAGTAGGAAAACTCTGTTTTCATCTGCTTTTAGTGTTTTCCAAATAGAAAATAAAATGCCAAAATTATAAGGTATTGTATTACAAGACAAACTCTCCTACAAACACATTCAGGTTTTTCTCCACTGTTTTGTTTCCTTGTTTACTGTAAAAAAAAAAAAAAAAAAAAAAAAAAAAAAAAAAAATTTTCATAAAAGTCCCGGTTTCCAATAAGCCTCCAATAAAGTTTCTTGGGAATTTACGGAATTTTTATACCAAACCAATTTGTTATATAAGTAAGAAACTGTAGGTTTGCATAGGTGGAAAATTCCATTCTGAGACCACAAAATACTACATTTTTCATTTCATTGAGCAACAAATGAAACCTAATTTATTGTGGACTTTGGCTGGAAAAACATATAGCTTTAGCAGCTTTTAAATACTGTACCATTTTTGCTTTACTTTAAGCAATAATCTAGCTTCTT